CCTGGAGTTGGATTGAATAATTACCCAGACACAAGAACTGCCAATGGGAGCCTTTGTCAAATAATCGGAGAAGTGCTTCCACTAACGAAGCATCAAGTCAGCAACAAGTGCATGACGACAAATACACAGGTGTAGGGTTATTCCAGGAAACATGGACGACAAGGGAGTAGTAATCGTATCATCCATGCAATCCGAAATCCGAAAATGCTTTCACTGCAGGGATACAAACAACGACATCTAATAAGCTTCCACCATTCTTTTTGTCTGTTTGTTTAGCTTAAAGAAATTAATTAACATGCGCCCTTTGTAGTATTACTATCGAAATCTTCATAGATCACAGGTAACCAATCTAGATTTTGCCTCAAAATTTATTACAAAGAAGTCCAGTCTCTTTTCACACTAAGTTGCGCTAGCGAGCAAATCGACTAACGACCGCTAGTGAGCCCTAGCGGGCAGTGTTAGACAACCGGGAAGAAGCCATAGATTAATTACTGCCCCTTTAACTAACGAATCTGGCCTGGTTCCGGCGAGAGGGAAACCGAGTGCTATAACCGGAGACTGCTCGGTAATATTTCTCACAGACCGTAGACTCAACGGTAGGGTTCCCGTACGCGTTGGGATAGGTTTCACTTGACGTCCGTGGAACCTAGGAATCCTAGTATCTGATGTTATTCATCAGACATGGAACGAGTGTTACATAGACAATTTTACAGATAGCATGGAGCGGCATATCCAACAGTGGCAGGGCAGAAACAACTCGAGCAGTAACCGACTATTGACTGTAATATATTGTAATACAATAGCCTTATACAAGTTGGTCCAGAACCTGAGAACAAAATTCATATTATTGATTAATTTGAAATTGAAAATTGTCGCATTTATTCTGCTCCTCTATACATATTGCCCCCCTTGGAGAGTCCGGGGCAGAATAAGCCCCCAAACCACACTTGAAGCAACATTTTCCCACATTATTAAGAAAGGGGAAGAGGGAAAACCGATATCTTGAGCATGACGAGCGGCCACTTTAACCACCAATATCTCCCACCGTGGCAACCAGTAACGTTTGTCGTGAGACTCAAATGTTCAGCTTGATGTAATACATTGATATGTCTAATAGTATGCTCCCCTAGGAACAATGTGACATGCCATATGTCTTTACTGCTTTATGTCGTGAGTATAACTAGTAGTATAGCTAGTTCCGGTAGAATTGTCTTGAAGTCTTGTTAATGTAACAACCATGGGTTTAACCAATAATCTATTCTTCAAACAACAAACAGCAGGTATTATTCATATGAGCTGTCATAAAAGGAAAGAAAGCTTTTAGATTCAAAACTATTCAAGCATTTGAGTAATCTAATGTTTGCATTAACAGAACTACTTAATGTTAAAGACTTTGCCATGTTTCTTTGAGAAAATATACTCACCGACAAGAGAAACACAAATACCATACATGTTGGTTAATATATATATGAAGAATATCTCATATGTAAGATGCTTTAGATAGGTTCAATGCACAAACAAACAAGACTACTCAGGGTAATCAGTAAATGGGAATGTGCGTGAATACGATCTTCCCGGATTCTATCCCATTGCATATGGTCAATGCAGCTGTAGTGACTAAGGCTCTCATGAACTGCTTCACTATAACAGGGTACATCAGGTCAAGTCAAGTGCATATCACCCTCAAGGAGTCCAAATCAGCCTAGAACATTTTCATCACAGTTTGAAAAGTATGTTGATGTGAGGGACTTGGATGCAGGAATCCTATATGCGTTGTTCACTGCTAGGGATGCCAGACAGGAATATCTAGGATTTTCCCAATTGAGTTGGTCTATGGTCTATGGTCATACCCCAAAGGGCCCCTTGAAGTTGGTAAAAGACAAGTGGTGAGCGATAATCCATCTGAGAATTTGCTAACCTATGCTACCAATTCAGCAAAGCAACACTTGTTCGCTGCTCAGTGTAAGCCTGAGGCTCACTTTGACAAGAAGGCTTGTGCCAGAGAATTTGAAGCTGGTGTCCAAGTGTTGCTGTCCATAAAAAATCCTCCCTCAAAGCTAAATACTTACCGAGTTAAATGTCAGGTTGATGATGAAGGGTATACTATCAGTACTCCAGATCACATTAATTTGCTGAAAGCATACCAAGCTAGACCTACCACACAACCAGTCTATGTAGTAACTGACAAAGAAAATGATGATCAATGAGAAGTTATGGAAACCAACTCTGTAACAGTGAAGTCCTGACTTCAGAGTGAGCTGAAGCATCTTCTCGATCAACAAAGAGAAGACATGCAGACTTTGATCACTGATCACATGGGCTTGTTCCCAGATGCTCCTGGTATTACCAATGCCATGGTATTAGACGTGGACGTGGGCGACGCCAAGCCAGCTAAGCAGCGCCCTTACAATCTCAACACTCACAAGAGAGCCTTGCTGAAGAAATCAAAACCATGCTGTGACAGGGAGTGATCAAGTCCAGGAACAGCAAGGGGAGTTCCCCCTGTCTGAAGGTGCCCAAGCCAGGGAATCAGTTCCGTGTTTGTGCCGATTGCAAGATAGTTGAATGCCAACAGAGCGTGAACTTGGACGACATCATCATCGCTTCAAGCCCAAAATCTTAGGATCCTGGCATGTCTTGGGGACTCCTCTCAGCGTTCTGAACTATGTTAGACGACTCCCACCCAGAGTTCAATGCAGTCAACCTAGTACCTCTGACATAGACCAGAGAGTAGTCCGTCTCACAGTCCCTGGACCATATTATTTTCCATAAAACTTTCCTTTAGAAAATATCCTAAAAGGAGAAAAACTATTTCCTTTTTGCGTATTTATCCTTTTTTTTTACAGTGGTTGTATGGTTCCACATAGAGACATTAAAGCAATACGGAGAGCTAGTGATAAGGCAATTTTGTTGTGTACCATGTATTGCCATACTCCTCAATGTCACAGACGTAGTGACTAAATTATTATACAAAGCAATTTTTAAATCGCTACGAGTGAGTGAGTGAGTGAGTTTGGTTTTACGCCGCTTTTAGCAATATTCCAGCAATATCACGGCGGGGAACACCGGAAATGGGCTTCACACATTGTACCCCTGTCGGGAATCGAACCCGGGTCTTCGACGTGACGAGCAAACGCTTTAACCACTCAAACAGGGTATGACGCGACCAGGTTTTGTAAACAGACGTCAATGATCTAGACGTCGAAACTAGGTTAATCGTTGCTGGTCACATGTGGTGTTTTCAGATGAGTCTCCATTCGCTTTGCACTTCCTTGATAGACGTGGTCGTGTCTAGCGTCGTTGAAATGAACGTCAATCCAATGTCAACCTTAGACCTCATGACAGATTTGGCGGTAGATCGGTTATGGTGTGGGATGGCATCACTGCACCAAATCCCACTCCATATTGCGCAAGGAAAGGTCAAGGGACAGTACTTCCGGGATAACATACTGACACCTTGTATTGTCTTGCTTGAAAGGCGTGTGGGTCGACGTTTTGTGTTTCAAGACGACAACGCCAATGCCCACCTCCAGCAGCACAACATCCATAGAATGCCATAGCCAGCAATGAGCCCAGACCTTTCCCTTACTAAACATGTCTAGGACATGAAAGGGAGACGTGTGAGTCAGCATGACAGGCCTCTGACCATGTTGGTCAGGAGCTGCAAGAGGTGTGGACAGAATCCCTCATATTGACATTGGGAGACTAATACGTAATGCTTGCCATAAAAGGTGACTGTGATTGTCGTAGGAGGCGTCGACCGGGATCGGGTGGTCAGACTCGCTGACTTGATTGTATCCCAATTGCGTGGATTGTTGGTCATGATGTCAGTTACTAGATTGTCTGGGTAAACTGCGTTAACTGCGTTAAACAACAAACAAACACACAAACCAAACCAAACCTGCACAAGTAGCTTCAGAGTTGCAACGTTAATCTATGTCAAGGATGTTTGGTTACAGTTCCTGCGGTGTCTATATGTCAGAAGTTTTGAGGTACAATATACGAATATTCTAAAGAGCATCATACGACTCTTGCTCAAACGTTGTTTGATCAGGGTTAAATCATTCAAGGCCTTAGTAAAGCTTTCAATTCGTTTATGGAGACATGTGGTGGACATTTCCAAATTTGACGCATCTGTGACCAAATGTCCGATGCAATTTTGACTTGCAACATATGTACCCGCGCTTCATTTCAGGTAAAGACTTGGTGAACTGTTGAATTCCCTTTACTTGTGCTTGGGACGAGTGCCACATGTGGGGCAGGATACGTTCACCTTTTAGTAAACACCTTGTATCATTACTATTTGATACTGATTCAGAAACAGATTTGGTGAGTGTCGGGTGCTTCCAGTAGAACAGTACATGCTTTTTGCAAAGACCCAGTGTCATCACTGATTTTCAGTTACTCATCACTTTGTTTTTTCCGCCCAATGAAATCTGTTTCGGCAGATGATCGTGATCAATTTTTGCCTGGCGTTGACATTTTAAATCTATCTGTATTAGATGAATTATCTTTTACTGGTCTACTCTAGCATTATTTGTGACCAACAGAAACTGTTTGCAAGACACTCAAAACAAGTCAGGGAATTTGTTCTCGAGCAGATAATTCGATATACACTTGTCTAACTAATAAAGCCAAGACAAGGTTTTCTTAGTGTGCAGCACCGGTGGTCCAGCCGCCTTAAGTGCCATGAATTTGTTATATAGATTTTTGTACCAGTGTTGTAATACCCGATGTCTGCACGTGTTATAGAGAGGCCAGAGCCTAGCGAGTGGTCGATTGACTCACTACCACTAGAGGTTTTGTGCTTTGAACTGCAGCACCTCAGATGGCCGGAACACACTGTCTCCACACTACTGCTCTGACCTGGCACCCTCGTCAGTACAGTCACGGTGTTATTTCTAAAAGCAGTCGAAGAACTTATTCCACATAGTCACACCTGCCCATAGAGGCCAAACTAAAACTATACCGGTTTAGCAATCACCATACACAGAACACAATTCTCATTGGTATCATTTATTTACACTTAGTACAAGGTAGCCGTTTATTCAGCACCTCTTCCCAAGATGCAGCACCTGAAACAAACATATACATGAATACAGAACTGTTTTATAAATACTTAGGTAAATACAGCTTGGAGGAATGCATGTAGAATTCATTTTTTCAGCTACGTGCAATAAGTAACAAATTTTATCCCTTCTTCAACTGAACATTTATTGTTTTACAGATGAAGACTTTATTTATGCGCTTTAGTTGGAAATGTGTGAAACATCTCTCGGGTGAAACCCCAGTTGTATCTCCATGCTGTGTCAAGGCAGCATGTCTTCGGTTCGAGTACCGGGTTTGCGCTATTTATACTTGGTCCTTCAGCCCCATGCTCAAACTTGTGGGTATCACCAAAGAGGTAAATGGCCTCAACGTGCATAACAGAACGACTTCAATGCAGCCAAATCAGATACGCATTTATTCACTGGCAGTACTTACTAATGATGACATGAACAAGTGCCAGCGACCTCATCAGGGCGTCTGACACAATGATGTCCGTTGTGGCAATGGTCGTGGCAGTGTGAGCAATCATGGTCGTTGTGACAAATGCCGTTACACTGAGCATCAGCTTAAACGGAGAAAATTAGATCAACGGAAAAGTGAAAGTAGTAAGCATGATATATTAATTCATGGAATATCACACGAAAAGTTACCAAGGTGAAGTCAAAATTCAAGTATGATGGCATGAATGTGTGAATGTTAGGTCCCCTGAGTTTAGCATTCAATGGAGGTTTATCAATAAAGAGGGCATCAGTTTTAATGCAGAAAATTAGATGAATGGAAAAGTGGAAGTAGAGTATTAGTTATGGTGTCTTTAGTTGCCGTATTACGGTGTCATATTAGGTTAGCAGAAATATATTGGTCTCGGCGTGATTCTGCTAGCCTAATATGACACCGTATAGGTAACTGCGTCAACCTCGACCAAACCTTTTCTGCTAACCTAATATGACACCATATACGGCAAATAAAGACGACATAACGAATTTATTATGCCGAAAAGTTTACACTATTTGGAATCTTTGTCGCACATGTCATGTCAAAACTTAAACCTCAAAACTTAACACTTGAACCTGTGACGTTTAGGGACAAAGGGAGACTACTCATCAACCTTGTTGATAATTTTAACTTTATATAATCTTATTAAAGTCACGAACGTGATCCAAAAAACATGATCGTCCTTGCACATCAAAATTAATGATATTAAAACACAAAACAGTGTCGAATAACGAATTTCTGTACCAGAATTTCCATGTGAAATATGTGAGGTGGGTGTTGAAAAATCCAAGATGGCTGTTACTGACGGTATACAGTCTTATATTAGGTCAGTATCAGCCATCTTGGATTTTAACTGACGGAATAGGGCTCATGTGGGGTTAGTATTTCTGCTCAGTGATTGGTCAATCTCACTTTGCGGCATAATAAAGCATGATATGACGGGGTAGGGGGGGGGGGGGGGGGAGAAGAAGGGTCGGGGTCGGCTGGCTACGGCACTGCTGCATATAATCCCTTCAAAGAGTTTTTTAAATTTGTCCTTGACCAATTACCCATATTCTCCCTGAGTGGTCAGAAAATGGGTCTTTTATCTAAATCTATGACCATATTTTTGTCCATGTGCTAGCTTTGACTTGGTCATCCCACAAGATCACAGGGATCATTTTACACTTACAATCACCACTATGCGTGAAGAGGGTTTTTGTTCAGGTACATTCCAGAAACTAGCACACAGTCCCACGTGAGTCTGTCTGGTTAAGATCATACAAGAAGTGACCCCACGGGGGCAAAATTGCTAATTCAGCAATATTAATTCATTCATTCTCACGAGTAACGCCAAAGTCCCGGAATTGTCCGTTAGGTGTTGCTGGTAACTGAAAACATCTAGAAAGTTCGTAATTTTCAATCGTCGGTAGATGACCCTGAATGCTTAAGCTTGTTACTATATATTATGAGTTATTCAATGTAGTGCAGTGGAGGCTTGGAAGCGTCAATCCAAATAGACATGTATTAACTCACCGACAAACGCTGCTCCGATGAGCAGGACAGAGACGAGGAGAATTAGACACGCAGCCTTCATGGTGGATGAATGAATACCCAGGTATCCCCAGGGTCGCTTTTATACAGCGTGGCTCGTGATCAACAATCCCTGGTTTTTCTTGCGTTATCTTTATCTATAATGTAGGCCTTAGAAGTCACAGACGAGTTTTCACATGTTTATGATTTTGTATATGTCGCAGTCTCACGAACTTTTTATCAAGGTGAAGACCAATGAAGACGATATAATAAGGACAATGGAAATGTTGCTTTAATACGTCGCAATACAACCAAATGTCTATTGTGATGTTTTAAGCCATTTTTGACGTCTTAATAGTGTGTAATTAATACATGAATATTTTTGACAAATCTACTGTGCAAGATAACAGTGATTAATCAATGACCGTATTTTCAGTAAAACGACTGATCGTTCCTCTCTTGCTGCGTTCTCACGTGCATATTACCTTACATACATTTCGCCCATTTCAAACCTGGAGTTGGATTGAATAATTACCCAGACACAAGAACTGCCAATGGGAGCCTTTGTCAAATAATCGGAGAAGTGCTTCCACTAACGAAGCATCAAGTCAGCAACAAGTGCATGACGACAAATACACAGGTGTAGGGTTATTCCAGGAAACATGGACGACAAGGGAGTAGTAATCGTATCATCCATGCAATCCGAAATCCGAAAATGCTTTCACTGCAGGGATACAAACAACGACATCTGATAAGCTTCCACCATTCTATTGTCTGTTTGATTAGCTTAAAGAAATTAATTAACATGCGCCCTTTGTAGTAATACTATCGAAATCTTCATAGATCACAGGTAACCAATCTAGATTTTGCCTCAAAATTTATTAACGCTGTCCTTACATCCTTAAGTTGCGTTAGCGAGCAAATCGACTAACGACCGCTAGTGAGCCCTAGCGGGCAGTGTAAGACAACCGGGAAGAAGCCATAGATTAGTGCCCCTTTAACTAACGAATCTGGCCTGGTTCCGGCGAGAGGGAAACCGAGTGCTATAACCGGAGACTGCTCGGTAATATTTCTCACAGACCGTAGACTCAACGGTAGGGTTCCCGTACGCGTTGGGATAGGTTTCACTTGACGTCCGTGGAACCTAGGAATCCTAGTATCTGATGTTATCCATCAGACATGGAACGAGTCTTACTTAGACAATTTTACAGATAGCATGGAGCGGCGTATCCAACCGTGTCAGGGCAGAATCAGCTCAAGCAGTTACCGACTATTGACTGTAATATCTTGTAATACAATCGTCTTATACAAGTTGGTCCAGAACCTGAGAACAAAATTAATTTTATTGATTAAATTGAAATAATTGAAAATTGTCGCATTTATTCTGCTCCTCTATACATATTGCCCCCCTTGGAGAGTCCGGGGCAGAGTAAGCCCCCAAACCACACTTGAAGCAACATTTTCCCACATTATTAAGAAAGGGGAAGAGGGAAAACCGATATCTTGAGCATGACGAGCGGCCACTTTAACCACCAAGATCTCCCACCGTGGCAACCAGTAACGTTTGTCGTGAGACTCAAATGTTCAGCTTGATGTAATACATTGATATGTCTAATATGCTATGCTCCCCTAGGAACACTGTGACATGCCATATGTCTTTACTGCTTTATGTCGAGAGGATAACTAGTAGTATAGCTAGTTCCGGTAGAATTGTCGCGTTTGTTTGTTTGTTTGTTTGTTTGTTTGTTGTTTAACGCTGCACGCAGCAATATTAAATAAATAATCGAGTCTGGACCAGACAATCCAGTGACTGACATCATGAGTATCGATCCACGCAATTGGGATACGATGAGATGCATCAACCAAGTCAGCGAGCCTGACCACCCGATCCCGTTAGTCGCCTTTTACGACAAGCATAGTCGCCTTTTACGGCAAGAATTGTCGTGAAGTTTTGTCAGTGTTACAACCTTGGGTATAACCAATAATCTATTCTTCCAACAACAAACAGCAGGGATTATTCATATGAGCTGTCATAAAAGGAAAGACAGCTTTTAGATTTAAATCTATTCAAGCATTTGAGTAATATAATGTTTGCATTAACAGAACTACTTACCGTTAAAGACTTTGCCATGTTTCTTTGAGAAAATAGACTCACCGACAAGAGAAACACGAATACCATACATGTCGGTTAATATATGAAGAGTGTCTCATATGTAAGAGATTTAAGATTGGTTCGATGCACAAACAAACAAGATACGTATGTTGTGGTGTGTGAACCGGCGCTCATGAACGCATCACATGTGACGTCATAGATCCATGACTCGAGATGCACCATTTGTCTCGTGCAGAATTAGCGTATAAAGTTACGTTCAGCATATTGTGATGAGAATAAAGACACGCTGTGGTAACACTTAACTGAATGTTAGGTTTGTCCTTAAGTGGTACACATTGGAAACATCATTTCTTAACGTAGATACTTTTCTAGATGTTTCTAAAGTTCCCGATTCTTTTGGCGGTGGGCCTAAATTTCTCAGTCTTAAGAATATTTTGTTTGTGTGGGAAGTAGCCTCTCATACCAGATTTACACATTGCCATGGCCAAAATTACATTAACCGTCATTACATCGCCGCTTTTGCCTCTGCCAGACTGCACCCTCCTCAGAAGGCTGCATGACGGCGGAATATGTGAGTCGGATAGATGAGGGGATTCTGTGAGTCGGATAGATGAGGGGATTCTGTGAGTCGGATAGATGAGGGGATTCTGTGAGTCGGATAGATGAGGGGATTCTGTGAGTCGGATAGATGAGGGGACTCTGTGAGTCGGATAGATGAGTGGACTTGTGAGTCGGATAGATGAGGGGATTCTGTGAGTCGGACAGATGAGGGATTCTGTGAGTCGGATAGATGAGGGGACTCTGTGAGTCGGATAGATGAGGGGATTCTGTGAGTCGGATAGATGAGGGGATTCTGTTAGTCGGAGAGATGAGGGGATTCTGTGAGTCGGATAGATAAGAGGACTGAGAGGGATATATGACGGCAGTATCTCTGAGTCGGATAGATGAGGGGACTCTGTGAGTCGGATAGATGAGGGGACTCTGTGAGTCGGATAGATGAGGGGATTCTGTGAGTCGGACAGATAAGGGGGTTCTGTGAGTCGGATAGATGAGGGGATTCTGTGAGTCGGATAGATGAGGGGACTCTGTGAGTCGGATAGATGAGGGGACTCTGTGAGTCGGACAGATAAGGGGGTTCTGTGAGTCGGATAGATGAGGGGATTCTGTGAGTCGGATAGATGAGGGGATTCTGTGAGTCGGATAGATGAGGGGATTCTGTTAGTTTGATAGATGAGGGGATTCTGTGAGTCGGATAGATAAGAGGACTGAGAGGGATGAATGACGGCAGTATCTCTGAGTCGGATAGATGAGGGGATTCTCTGAGTCGGATAGATGAGGGGATTCTGTGAGTCGGATAGATGAGGGGATTCTGTGAGTCGGAATAGGGGACTGAGGGGACAGGAGTATTAACACGTGCATAATATCATATAATATAGACTGCCAGTTGTGCATATTGCACACATACCATGCATGTAAAAGTCCTCTCAGACTTCTGTAAAAGTGTCTCGGTGCGTTAGTAGACATTAGTAGATAATGAATTTGGCATTGTCATTCCAAATATTAATGCGTGACATTCCGTATGGAGCTTCTGCTTGATGGGCACATGTCACAGCATGGTAGTCCTGATCAAGTTTCACATGGCACTAAAGTATTCAACATTATTGCAAGAAACAACAAAGTTTTTAACAATGGTCAAACTTCAGAATGTGACGAAGAAGTCATGCTGTCAATTCAATGTAAATGCGATTCATTGTCAGTATCGAAATAATTTCTCCATTCCAATCGTTAAAACTCAGAGTTTAATATAAGCGTTTTAGTCACAAGTGACTTGGGGTTTACGACGCTTTAATATATCAACGTCCCAGCAACATCAGGATGGGAAAACACCACAAATGGGCTCAACACAATGTAACCATGTGGAGAATCGAACACTGGTCTCGCCGTGTAGGAGATTTCCTAGGAGATTGACCTATCGAACATTACCATCTAACTCTTCATTCTAGGTCTTATTTGCAGACCCCTGAATCCCAAATACCACTTGACACACACATCTCAAAAGCACATGTTAGAATTTACTCGAAGGCAGAATGCCAATGACAGACGAAAACCAATATAGAACGCGTCCTATCAGTTTATAAAAGGGTGCGACGTTAAACCCCATTTCACCTCACCTTATAAAAAGGTGCAATTTAAAGTTATATCACTGATACAAATATAAACATATAAATATGTAAAAGAACGTTTTACCTACACAATCATTTTGTTTTAAACTTTGAATCTTCGTGATAAATATGATTATCTTTGCGTCCCTCTACCCCGCTAAAGGCACCACGAATCTTGCACACCAAAAGGCGGTTGGCAGACGCAACTGCTTTGAATCAGTATAGATCGAAGTTGACAACCACATCACCGAAAATGAAAACGTTTAATTGAAACTGCATACTCCATTAAGCTTCCTGATGTTGCAAAACACCAGGTTTTAGTACCAGAAAAGTCACATGTGGCATGCTTTGAAGTCAACCAAAGGCTATTTGACTATAACAGTGGTTTGTAAACTGCAGTGACACCACTGTTTCTCTGTCACATAATTTTAAGTCAGGTTTAGACGCTTTATTGATTTGCTTTATACCAAAACAATTCAAGGAAATTATTTCTTGGTATGACAATTGTATGCAATCCTATGTACTAAGTAATCAAGTCTCAATCATATGATGTAAAATTACTGATTAACATTCATGGAACAGATGTGAGGAATGTGTGTTATCTCTAATATAGCCTCCACCGTTGTTTGTGTGTGTGTGTTTTAATAGCTTGGGTACTTTATGACATTACTGGGTACATATTGTGAACGTTTTTCAATATAGCGCCAGGGGGTGTTAGAACGCACAGATCAGAGTCAGGTCCATAAAACACTCAAGGTTTTAAGTACTTTGAGAAATAACTAGGTGAAAGTTTCATACCTGTTTTATAGTCAGTTGGCCACCAGCGGAAAAGTGGCTTAGTTTAGATTTTCGTTCCCACATTTTCCTGTATACCTTAA